CTCCCTGTGGAAGACTTCCCATTTCTTCACGTGCAGTGTCTTGTTTTGTAGGCTGAAGACCTTGAGCATGCGTTCCGTGTCGAATTCGCTGCCCCAACCTCTGACGAAGACTGTAGCCTTTTGTAGTTGAGGAATGTCTTTTTTCCTCACCAGCTTGAGCTTCATTGTTCCATCTATGGGTCCAATGCTTGCCACTATCTTTCTCAGGGCTTCTATGCTTTTTGGACTTCCAAATTCCAGCATCAGATAGTCCCCTTTGAACTCGCAGCTATTCATTTCTATAGAGTCCCCTCCTTCCAGTAGGTGCTCCATTATTTTGGTGTTGACCACATTTAATACCTCTCCATGGGTCTCCTTCTTTATCTTACCGGACGCGCTATTTCCGTCGATCACTGCATAGCAGAGCTCGTCTAGATAGCGCTTCCTGGCAACCTTGGCGTAAGACGGCGGCTCCTTACCATCTGTTACTGTCATCTTCCTCTTTCGCAACTTCCGGTTGGTCCTTTTGGGATTCCCGGACTTTGCGGAAGATTCCGACTCAGCACTCGTCTTCTTGATATCAGAGCCAGCCTCGTCTGCCCTCGTCAGTGGATTCTCGTAGCAGTCTCCTTTGACGTTGGTTTGACTCAGCTTTCTCTTATTATCAGTAGACGGGAAGCTCTTTTTCTTCTTGGCGGATTTGACAGTCGTCTGCTCATCCGGAGACCTTATCCTCTTCGCCGCTTCCGCAGAAGTGGAGGGAAGGTCAGGCTTATCCTTTTGAGTTTCTGCCTGTATCTCGCTCTTTTTGTTTGTCCGGTTCAATCTGGCCAACTTCCGCCTTTGTGCCCCAGACAACTGCTTCTTCTTAGTTGTGAGTTTGGCGATATTTTTACTCACCTCCTCTATCATCTTGTCAGCCTCATCTTCCTTCCGGCTCTCCAAGACAGTTATGTTTGTCTGATTATCATGATCAGACTCAGAGTTCGAAGTTGAGTCCCCTCCTGTCTCTGAAGGCTGGGTCGAGATTGCTCTTCCCCTGTGGTTCCTCAACTTCGAATTGGTGTTGCCCGAAGGCTGAGTGCTTGTAGCTATACCTTCGACTACAGATGCCAAGACACCCACATCTGTAGGAGATTGTTGCTCACGATCGCAGGATGACGACGGGGCGTGACTCGTGGGCAGATCAACGACACCCGCCGGTACTGAGTTATTTAGGCTCTGCACCGTAACGTTTATTCTTTTTTCCTCTTTTTCCATCTTTGTTTTTTGTTTTAGGGGAACACCCCCATAGTTAGTTTTGGTCCGCGGGGACAGAAGCCCTGGAGATGGGTGATCAAACTATTCTATTACATACAGCCTGCGCTGGTTGTAATTGATTAGTATGATCATCCACCTCCCCCCTATCCGCCACCTGGGGACGCGCCCGGTAGGAGACTAACAACTCCCTCGGGCCATTTACATTAAATCGGACGAAAATATATATGGGAGCTATATCTAAATCTGAACCGATTTTTCCCAATTTCAATAGGGTTCGTCCTTGGGCCAAACAAATGAGCTGTGCCAAATTTCATCCAATTCGGATCATAAATGCGACCTGTACTTTGCTCACAAATATACATGGACAGACAGACAGACGGACGGGCATGCTTAAATCGACTTAAAAAGTGATTCTATGCATATTCTCAAAAGGAATCATGGGTCTATCTCGTTTCCTTTTGCCTGTTACAAACATATGCACAAAGACATAATACCCTGTAGCACAGTGTGGTGAAGGGTATAAATACATCCGAACTGATGTCATCGATATAGCATTTTCTGTCCGAATCCGTGGTATCTGAAATTAACATCCAAAATTCCCTTGGGGCCAATATATTTTCTGTTCGTTTTGGGGCGGTTATGGTATGTGATACAGATTTCAACGTTTGGTATTTTTTTTTATAATGAGATCCAAAATAATTTATATTTACGTAATAAGGATCTCAACACCATCAAAATTATGAGTATCGTTGCTTTAAATTGAAATCATGGACAATAATTGGAAAATATCTTTCAGCTATTTTACAAGAAGAGAAAGACCTTCAACTATTTTAGAAGAAGACATTCATTTATATAGAAGACCTGCAACCCACCTATGAGAAGGCCTTCAGTTATTTTATGAGAAGACCTTCAGATGGGAAGACTTTTTTTCATTTCTTTTTCCTTTAATCCCAAGAAGAAGGCTTTAATTTTTTTTAGTTATCTTTATTTCTGCTTTCCCCTTTCTTTCTGAACCCCTTTTTTGTTCTCTAAACCGCGAACTTCAGTTTTCCCATAAAAAGGACTTTATCTATCAGATGAAATTCAGCTGATCTACTAGACAAGAAGGAAACCCTGATTACCGAATAACAGTTTATTTAAAATATTAATATTATTTAAAATATATTTTTGTTGCATGTTTTTATTAACAATAATTGGTTTCGACCTCGGGCACTATTTCATTTTAAAGAACAAGTCCATTCTTTCTTTTCCTAAATATGAGGAATCCGTCTTGTTTTATTATAATTTGGTTTTGAAGTATTCAATTTTTTTTTGTAATTGACAGGGATTAATGTATGCTCACAAATCCCACTAGAACTCCAACTTGCGTCGTTTGTAGTTGCGTCGTTCCGAGCTGCATTGTGGATTACTATTTTTTTGCATTTGCAGTGCCTGATTTAGCATATTTTCTGTCGTTTCTGTATTCATACTTGTTTTTTTATCAAAAATTTTGTGCTTTGTTTTCAATATTTTCCCAGTAAATTAAATTTCAGTGCATTTTGTATATGTATAGAAAATGGTGATTCGATTTGCGTCGTTTTGAGTTGCGATGCGATTCTCCGGTCCCCATTAAGACGCAAGTCGGGACTGTAGTATATATATATATATATATTTGAGATTACAGGTGAACGGCATGAAATCCCTATTGTCTTGTAAACTTTGACTAGGTTTTTGGTTGTGCTGTGATTGCTTTTAGGACACGCAAACTTAAGGTGATGCAAGAAATAAGTATTAAATGACACCTCCCCCTTTAATAGAATGCTTATGGTTGATATGTTATTTGAGGTTGTAATATGTTTGTCTATTTTTGGACATTATTATAAAATGTTTAGTGAATAGTACAGTTTAATTTGTGGTTTCATTGATCAATTTACTTGTTTCGTAGTCGTTAAGAAATCCTCCAATTAAAATACACAAATTGGAAGTATGTTTAGGCTACTAAATCCACACGATTTCAAATGCCAAGTCCATAGCGTATACGTCACCTTAATCATGTTCACAAATGCAGTGGCTTACATTTAACGTACACGCTATGAAAATAACATTTGGGATCGAGTGAATTTCGTAAATCTAAACGTACTTTAACAGAATACAACTAATGACATATTGTTATCAATCAGCAGATATTTGCATGCTGGTTTCATAATTTCTATGTCAATTTCAATATGTTCATAATTCTAATAGGAATTCCTCCTTATCAAATGAATATAAACATGTGACGATCTTGTATAAAGGAGCAAATAGACTATGCCATGATGCAATAATAAGGTGATGCATCAAAACAAAAACTTTTGTTTTTGTCTCGATCTACTGTCAAATTTCTCCTTATAATATTTCACGTGGTTGGCAACATTACACATCGAATTTATATAGAAATTACCCACTTTGACAGTTAATCGAGGCATCAGCTGCGCTAAATGGACTACCTATTTATTGTGCCATGGACTATTACATACAATAGAAAAATCAGGATTTAAGGGAGAAACACATACGAGGATTCAGTTGGCTTCGTATGAAATATCGAATTTGAATTCGGACGCCGTAAAAAGGAATGCCAACTTCTGATTGGCTGTTATGTTAATTTTGGCTTCGTATGAAATATCGAATTTGAATTTGGACGCCGTAAAAAGGAATGCCAACTTCTGATTGGTTGTTATGTTAATTTTGAAGTATTGTCATCTAATGTTGGCATATTTACTAGATTTACGTTCCAGAACTTTTCAAATTATTTTGTACTCTGTAAACGATTTTGAAATATTTGCTTTTTACTAACTTTACTATTAAAAAGAAAGTACTGGAACAGACCATTTGTCTTTTTCAGATGATTTTCATTTAAGAGAAACCCGAAAATACGTATTCGGGGAAATAAAAAATCTATAATTATAAAATTCTAATAAAAACTTGGATTAAAATCTTATATTTTTTTTTAATTACAAATTTGATTTAACATTTTAGTTAACAAGCGTGAGTGCGTATGTGTATATGTAAACAATTATCAGCTGATTGTCTTTCCTAAGTTATCTAAAAGCCAGTGTAAACAACCTTAATTTATTTTCAGGTTTTCGTAAATCTATATATACAAAGTTTATATGTAAATGTGCTTATACACAGAATATGTATTTTGATCTTATATAACAAGCCATTTTGAGAAAAATTGTAATCAGATGGTAGCTATGACCTACCTTGTAATAATTACATCATGGGTCCATCACTTGTTTAAATTCAAATTTAATTTATTGAGCCTTCATCACTTGTTTAATAGAATTTGCAATTGAGTTTCATTGCCAATAGGATTTTAATGGGTTAATCGCGCATATGCTTCAGTTGACACTTTTATTCCTTGATTGCACCAACATAGCGTTTAGTCTAAAGCAGTCTCATCGGATTACACACAACACAATCTGGCATCACCAACCACCTGTCAAAATAAGCATGTGTGTGTTTTCGTTTTTTTTTTGTGAATGAGTTTGGGTTTCGTCTTTGTCGGAGAAGACAGCAGTTTGTGCACGCGTTTATCTTAATTATTTTTATACTTTAGTTATTTATTTCTTCATATAAAAGCCCACATACAATCTAGCGATAGCCCATAACACTTGTCAGAGGACGTGAACAAAAAAACGGCAACGATAAAAGATCTGACGTACAGACAGTTGATTAGAAACGAAAACGAAGGGTCTGAGAGACACAACCAACCATACAATCATCATCAGAACAGTAGTAGGAGCAAAAAACAACAACAACAAACATGTTAACTGAAATTGTGAATAATCCCAAATTAGAAAAACTTCTAATCAGCACGGGTAACATTTTAAATGTGGACAATGCCACTCCGTTGCGGACATCACACGAAGAGCTGTTGGACAGCTTAAAACTGTGCACCGATTGTCAGGCGGCAGCCGCAGCAGCGACGACAACAACGGCCGATGGAAAAGACGACTTACAGCTGGTCGTGATTGGTCACAGCGACAACGAGGCTCATGTATTGCGAGCCCAAAAAGAGTTGCAAGAGAAAATATTGGAAAATCAACGCAACGAAATCAGCATCGGAGCCAAATTGTTTGTAAACAATGCCAGCGGTGTGGGTGGTGTCCAACAAGCCGTTACAGCCCTCATGGACATACTGAAAGTGGACTGTGTTGATAATCTGGTGGTGGCCTATCATCCACATGGCGAGGCGAAAAGTGACGGTGCCGATGTGAATAGTCTTAAGAATTTATGGAATGTCTTGCAGGAGTTTGCCGAAAAGAAACAAATATGCCAATTGGGTATTGCCGATTTGGATAGCAGTAGTCTGCAACAATTGTACAGTGATGCCAGAGTGCCTCCGACCATAGCTCAAATTAATTTGGCCAATTGTTGTGTCGTACCGCCGGAATTGAAAGAGTTTTGTACACAAAACGACATACAATTGCTGACTCATGGTGATCCGGAAATTTTACTAGCCGATAATGATTTTACGATTCCCGGCTATACAGTCGATTGGGTGATGCGTTATCAGGTGCATGTACGCTGTCGTGGTGTACTGACAGCCAAGGGTTATATAGTGCAGGCCACAAAAAAGGATAAATGAAGCGTATATACATATATACTATATCTAGAGAAGTACCACACAATCACAACAGATTCTAAGTACATACATATACATATATATTTTTTAAATAGTTCAAATTACAACAACAACAGCAAAACACTGCATGCATTTTTTAATGTCCGTTCCATTCAAAACAAACAGAAACAAGAATGTGAGATATACTGAATGGAATTTATTTTAATTTTTTTTAATCATCGTTGCTAGGGAATCACCTCCTAATCGACCGCCAACATTATGAGGTTTTTATGAAGAGGTCATTTTCTATTTAAGTAACAAAAGAAAGAAAAAAACACAAGGGAAAGTTCAACTATGTCTCAATATGCCGATCATTATTTTTAATATATTTTCTTTTTTCTTTTTATTGATTAATTATTAAAAAAGTTGTACTTATTGTTAGATTTTATACATATATATGTATTATATTTCTCCCTCCCACCACCACCACCTTTTGTTAACCCGTAACACACTCAAGTCCACACAATTATCAATTAATACATCAAACTACCAAAAGCGCTATATGTGAGTGGCGGTGTGTGTGTGCTTGTGAATGAGAGAACAATTTGAATGTGCAGTATCTCTTATTAATTTGACCAATAACCTTTAGTTTTGAAATTTGGAAGGTTTTCTTTATTCAATGATATATAAAGTATTTTTGATTAAGAATATTTTTTTTTCAATTTCATTTAAAAGGAGATTTTGGACAACATTTTTAACCTGTTAACCTGGTTTTTATTATTATTTTCTTATCATGCTGCCCACACGCACACCCACATCCACACAGTGTTATAATAAAATACTTAAAATACAAATGTAGGAAGTATCCTATGAAACACTATCTACATTTATTACCCCTATATATTTGTAGCATTCTATTTTTGTACTAAAGAAAAATTGTGTACTTTTTTCATTCAAAATATATCTGCCTACTTATTTTATTTTTTAGTAATGTTTAAGTTTTTACAATTTATATCTACTTGGATATGTTGTTATTGTAGTAGTAAATAGTTATGATAAAGAGAAGAGAAACAAAAAACAAAGTGAGTTGAAAAAAACATTTGCTAATAAATCAAAATTACTGTTTAATTAAAATAGAAAAAAAATTAATAAAGAAAACAACAACACAACTAAACAAAAAAATACAACCACCTCCAAATTGATATTTTATTTCATCATTTACTAGCCTATCAGTAAGTACCCTTGCCCGTTTCTGCGATATTTTGCCAATCAGCTGAATCACGTTTTATAAACAATAGTTTGCACAAAATACCGCACAATACACAATGTATTGTATTTTTGTTGTTGTTTTTTTACCCTACATCACATCAGTGGTACAGTGTCTGTTTGGATACCCTCCATCATATGGTGGAATATATATTGAATTTGACATACATTTTGCAACATCTCGAAATAATAAATTTTATTAAAGTACTCGTCTTAGAATCCGAGGCTCCGAGGCTAATCTTAATATACATAAAAGAGCTTAATGATAAGTGATTGAGTGACTGACAGATCATCGCCCAGACAAAATGGCTGAAGCTACAAGCTTGAAATTTTGAGTGTGGAATGTTGTTAGTGTATATGCGTGAGTTTTTGGTAAACTAGAAGAGCTGGAAAAGGAGAGAGGAGAAACGTATTTTCAGAAAAAAGTACAAGAAAAACGTAAGCGTGAGCAAATCGAGATGTACAGGATACAGAATGAAGTCCGAAAATTTTACCAACGAGTAAAACCGAAGACTTTGGTGCAGGCACATCCTCCTGTAGAGATGAAGAAGGAAACCTGCTGACAGATGCAGACAGCGTGCTGAGGATCTGGAAGGAGCATTTTGAAAAACTTCTGGTATCAAATAGTAGCGGTGAAATGGATACCAAAGAACCAATAAGAGATGGCGGTATAGAGTATATACCACCTAGCTAAGATGAGGTCAGAATATCAATCGGCTAAAGAATAGCATGCACCAGCTCATTTGTACAATTATGCTAGAGGAATGCATGCCCCATGATTGGAACCTGTGTCCCGTGCACAAAAATGGAGACAAGACGATATGTGTCAACTATAGAGGAATTGGTCTTCTTCCCATCGCATATAAAGTGCTATCCAGTGTGCTGTGTGAACGCCTGAAGCCAATGGTCAATGATATTATTGGACCATACCAATGCGGCTTCAGGCCTGGCAAATAAACCAGATTTTCACTCTGCGCCAAATCCTGGAAAGGACCCCACGAAAAACACATCGACACATTCCACCTATTCGTCGAATATAAAGCCGCATTCGACAGCCTTATACGTTCAGAGGTGTTAAAAACTATGTTTGCATTCGGCATTCCTGCAAAATTAATACGACTATGCAGGATAACTTTTAGTGGCACAAGGTCAGCAGTTAAAGTCGGAAAGGACCTATCGGAGCCCTTCAATACCGAACGAGGATTCAGACAAGGTGTCAGTTTGTCGTGTAATATTTTTAACATCCTGCTGGAAAAGGTCATACGATACGCAAGGCGAAGAAATGACACTATACACCAAACAGAACATGTTATTCGCCTACGCCGATCACATCGATATAATGGCTCGAACATTGCGAGCGGTAATATCAACCTTTGAACAAATTGAGAAAAAGGCTGCCAAAGTGAGCAGTAAATGGCGAGAAGACCAATCTGTGGAATTTCGAGGTAGTTAAATATTTTATATACCTTGGTACTGCCATAAATAAAACTAATGACATCAGTTTTGAAATTCGGAGAAGGATAGCGATGGCCAACATATGCTATTATGGTCTATGTAAGCAGTTTAGAAACAAGGCCATCTTCCGTCAGACCAAACTCACACTTTACAAGACGCTGATACTACCCGTGCTGTTATATGGATCTGAAGCATGGGTACTTGCGCAAACAGATGATGTAGCTCTTGGAGTGTTTGAGAGAAGTTCTATGGACCTATCTGCGTCGATGGTGAATATCACCGTCGAATGCACCATGAGCTATACCATCTATTCACGGAAATTGACGATGGAAAGATCAAGTAAAAAACAACATCTCGGAAAATGATCTTTGAAATTGGATGAGATGCGCACAAGACCGAGGCGCCTGGAAATCTTTTTTAAGCTGGCTTATGGAACAATCGTTCTGTCATAAACCTGCTAAGTAAGTAAGGAAGAGATAAGGAATTCTGAAATATATTGAACATATATAGCCAGAATCTTCAAATTTTATGTAAAATACAGGTTGGAGGTAGTTTTGAAAACTAAGTATCTGTACTTAATGGTAATAAATTTAGTACACTATAAATGCGAGTGAACGGATAGAGATAAATAATTTATCCGGCATGTTCTGGCATTCACATCAACGGTAGAAGTGTATCGAACATACTTCGAGCTGTTATGTAACACACTTTACATGCGTTTCAAGTGAATTATTTTCATAGTGAGAGTCGGGTGCATTCAAGTATTTTCTATAAAAAAAGTTTTTGTTTGTATCTTCTTGGCTAGAAAATCTCCTTACCAAAAAACAATGAATATTGAGCCACCTTTGGGTCACGCCTATAAGGGTAACCTCCAATTTGTACTATTTTGAGCATTTCGGAATTTTTTGTACCTCGCTAATTTGTATTTTGATTGAGTAGTAAATTTACATATCAAAAATTTGTATTGTTTCACCTTAAGTGTAGTTTCATGATGAAGGGTACATCAAATTCGGTATGATAGAACCTAACACGATTGTACTTAATTGATTTTAGTTTTTTAGATATCATTTTGTCTGAGCCACAAAATGTTGCTGCCGATAGTTTGTTGCTTGCTAGCTATTTCCACTTTACAATAATGATGATGAAAAATGAATGAACTATTCAAGTCGTCGCCGTCGTTTGTTTATTGTATTGATATACTCATACGTTCATCAATTAGCCGCAGATACTTATTAAGTATTTCTGGTTCCTAAGTATTTGTTGTTGTTGTTTTTTTTTCTACTCGAATTACATAGTTTCAATTAACCTTTTATGGATGACTGAAAAAGGGAACGTTAACAAGTCCGAAGGGGAATGATGCTACTTTTGTTCACCCATTTTTTCTATTGAAAGGGGAGGGGGTTATAAACGTTTACTTTTAGAACATAACAAGAAAATAAATAAACTACAATCCTGTTGAATATGATGACGGCATTAAAAAAAATGAAAACGTCGATCACCATGGAGGTAGTTTTGGAAATACGTAAAAAAGAGAATAAAGACACTAAATTGAAGTAAAGTGTTCGATATTGGTGTGTAGGTTGATTAGCTCTTCTGACATGTAATTTAAATTAAAATTTACTATATTTTGACATGTTTTCCCACATTCGATAAAGCAAAAAGGTTATTTCCCTGAATTATGGTTATATACATAGTTATGGTAATATGGAATTAAATCTTATTCAACGCGTGCTAATTTCTATTTCAAAATACACAACAGTTAGGAAAACAAACAAAGAAAACAACCTAATAACCGATTGTGTATATTTCTTGATACCATACATTTTATTTTATTGTTTGATAACATGATTAATTTTTAGATAATTATTAATAATTGTGTTTATACAATTGGCCTAATTGAGAGTGGGTGATTAATGAAAAAAAAATTTGGATTTTATTAAAAAATTAAATAAAACTTCTCAGGGCTTTTTGCTGAATCTAGGGTATTTTTCTGAATTGTATCACCAACGTTATTCGTTTGTGGTGGTTTTAAAAATTGATGTCAGATATTTTTTTGCCAGAATCTTCTATGGGGTTTCAAATTTGGTCTGTTCCCATACTCAAAAAGTGATAAAACTTTCAAATTTTTTAAAGTGAAAATGGAAAATAATTTTTATTATTAAGCGGCATTTACATTAGAACTTTTTATCGGTTAACCAACAATATCAGGATTTATTTGACATATATACAATGGAATTAACAATTCAAATCCACTGGGTTAACGAAATGCCGTATAATATAAAAGTACTATTTGAAGATTCATG